AGCTTCGGTGAAGGTGCCTTGCCAGCAAGATTATTCGCTCTCACTTGCTGGCGGTCTCGTTTCCCGCGACCGCAGTATAATTGCACGGCTTAGTGCAGTAACGTGCTGCAGAACCAAATCTACGATCATAGTAGCACATAGTGGAAGAAGAGGTATCATCGTCTCGGCTAGACGAACGTCGTCGACTACTAAAACGCCGGCGGGAAGGAAACCGGTTTCGACAACGGTTTTTCAGGGCAAATGTCAGGTCTCTGACTTGCCGTTGTAGTTCTTCCACAGCTTTCTCCAAGGACCTGTGGTCACTGGATGCTTCAGCACTGTGTACTGATGTCGTTTGGTGATCCAGTTGGGAGAAAATACGATCTGCAGCGTCCGCTACCTGGTCGCCAAAATTTGGGTAATAGTGGTGGGAAGGCGATCCAACCACAGGCTTTTTAAAATTGGGTCAGCCATAATGTTTTTACCCAAACGACTCTTCACGAAACGTAAAAGTTGCGAAGGGGTTCTACCATCACGAGTTAAGTCGCTAAATAAGCGCTTCTTCAGTACGGCCCATTCTCTTTAGAATAGCCTCCTTCAATTGGGTGTAAGGTTCAACCTCCGGGACGGCTTCCAAGAAATCGGACACTTCATCCACAATGGTGGGTGGTAAAGCGATTGGGGATAGTGCTGTGGATGAACGTATTGCAAGGCGTTGGTTTCGAAAATTCAAGTCAGGAGATTTGTCTCTCCATGATGAGCCTCGCAGTGGACGACCACAGGTCTTGAATGATGGAGTCCTGAAGGCGGCCATTGAAGAAGACAGTAGTCTAACGTGTGGTGAACTTGCAAGACAGTTCTACGTTTCCGATGAAACAGTTAGACTTCACCTGCACCGCCTAGATAAGACGTACAAACTGAGCAAGTAGGTTCCGCAAACGCTGGAGGTCCACAAGGGACAACGAGTGGCAGTCTGCGTATCGATGCTTTCCCGCCACCGTACCGCATCCTTATTCAATCGAGTGCTTACCAGTGATGAAAAGTGGGTTCTGTACGTAACTCCCAAGTGTTCCAGACATTGGTTGTCTCCAGGATGCTGTTCCTCACACCGCAAGACCGCCTATGCACACACGCAAGATTATGCTTTGTGTCTGGTGGACAGGCCGTCAAGTGGTTCATTATGAACTGCTACCAACGGGCAAACGGTCACTGGAGACCTATACTCGCAGCAATTGAAACGTGCGCAACAGGCATTGCGCCAGAAGGATCCAACACTGGTGAATCGCAAAGGTGTGCGTTTTCCTCCATGACAACGCCAGGTCGCATGTCACGCGAGTGGTCAGGGATACCATACAGCAACTTGGGTGGGAGACTTTGTGTCATCTACCTTATTCACCTGACCTTGCGCCATCCGATTACCACCTTTTCCACTCCCTGGATAATCATCATCGTGGGAAATCCTTCACAAATGAAGCAGACTTGTGCAAAGCCCTTACGGACTTCTTTGCGTCAAAACGCCCTGAGTTCTACCGCAAGGGCATTGAACAGCTGCAGACACGTTGGCAGAAGATGCTGGATGCCGATGGCGATTACTTCGAAGACTAAATGTAAGTTACACATACTGTGAAGTGTTTTCTTTTTTTTCCTTTAAAAATGGACAGAACTTTTTTGGTTACCTTGTATATCTGAATATATAATGCAGTTCTCAATGTAAATTGAATATCAACCTAATAAAGATATTAACTGTGAACTCTGGTGACTTACTTATTGAGAACTTTCAGAGGGAAAATTAGCAGGAGATAACTGATAACTGACATCCATCAAACATGGCACGTGGAACTAGAACAGTCTACCCCAGTGAACAGGCAATGTTCAAAATAAAGAAGTACAATAAGCAGTTAATAGTATAAACTATATCTTTAAAAAAAATTAACCCAAACACTAAGCAGTGGATATATTTTGACACGTCGAAGTTAAATTCAAAATAATTATATAACAATAATAAAACTTTGAGATTTTCGTTGGCTGGTTTAAAAATTCTTAATAATAAATAAACCTTTGAAACAAATATGAATTTTCGTCATTCTAAAATCCTATGAACAATCGATAAACATAGTTTTGCACAGTACACGCAAAATATACGTAAGTATTTAAATCTTCAACTATATTCGTCTAATCTACACAAAAGACGTATTCAAATATTTTTATTCAATTAATAAATGAGATTTTTCACCAGAAAATAGCTTGCTGAAATAATTTTATAGTGAATGTCCGAGTTGAAAGTGCTTTCACCATTTCCTGAAATGAGGATTAATATGTTCCTCAGACACAGAGTTTGTGATTTCAATTCCAAAGAGACAACCCTTCGACTTTAATTATTAGGAAAGAGTCTGCAAGTCAGTGAGGATGGGTCTGTGGTAAAATCTCGGCTCACGAGTCTATGATTGAGGGGTTCGTGCCCGATTAATGGCAATGTTACATTTTTTTCTTGCAACCCACCATGCCAACATTAGGTTTATAAGTCAATAAAAATCTGTTTGCAATCGGGCCGTTCCTTGTAGGGTAGCGGTATGTTTGAGATGAAATGGACTTGCAGTTAGCGGTTCAATTCCGGCAAGACTCCCATTCCTATGTTTAGTTGTAGTACAGGAAATCACTTATTCCTGTGCGTCCGTTAGAGGGGGAGGGTCTTCCTGGCGTTGGATTTGCCGTTTTTGGCAAATCCAACACCGGCAACTACTCGCCCCCCCTCTAATCGACGTGCTCAAACTCGCAAGAAAAACAGGGGACGGCTTTTCGTTCAGCTCAACTCCGTGACCTACTTTAATACAATACCTACAATATTCTTCACGTGACATGTTAATAACAACGAAAAAAATTTACGATTGTAATTTACATTCACACAAAACCTTAAGTCGTAAAAAAATTTTTACAACCAAGCTGTGACTAGGTCCCTGAACCCCAGAATACGTTTTTTATTAAAATTTAATCATTGCGCACAACCAGAGCTGTGACTAATCTCCCGAACTTCAGAATGAACATTTTGCAGTTAATTTATGAAGTCTTTTAAAAAAATGTAATACTCAAAGTTTTTACACCACCGCCATTAAGAATCTCCCGCCAGTGTATTAAAAATCTTTCATTTTGGGCTCAAATAGTTAACTTCATATAGGAAGTAGGCATATAGTTCATTAAACTCATATTCTGATAAAGAAAATACTTATGTTGAAGCCAAATTGGTCAGATGCCTAAAATTCACCAAATTATCTTCAGTACTGCAGGTTTGAGAAAGCCCCCCCTACACTTTGTTATTAAAAAAAATATCCAAAACTTTTATTTATTTTTTTTTTTTTAAATAAAAACCAGGAAAATGAAGTAAACTGTTTTTACCGTCATTTGATTAAAAAATGTTCAAGTATATATATATTATTTAGAAGAACAAAAAGAGGAAAATTTTAAAATATTTTTTTTTACCTTCATTTTTTTTTTATCTTTCTAACACGTTTTAAATTTGGGTAAAAAAACTCTATTTACTTTTTCTTTTTTTTTTGTTAAAAAACCGTAAGACTTGTGGTCATCGTCATTTTTTTTGTAGCAATTTCAGGGAAAACCCATTAATTTTGAAATTATTGCAAAATGAAAATTTTCAGAACTTATTCAAAAATGAATTAATTAATTTTTGAAACTTTTATTTTTAGAAAATTCTGTTAAAAATATATATTTTTTTTTACATCTGTTACCCACCCCTAAATTAATTTTATAGAATTTTCAAGAGTTCGTAAACTATTTTTTTTTTTTTATAAGCAGGACTCCTTGGAGAAATTAAATAACCAATTTTTTTTTTTTTTTTTTCACAACTAATGCCAACTTTTAAAAAATCTGCTCCAAATGGTAAAATAAAAACTGCAATAAACTTTAAATATCTAATTATCAAATTAGATAAACTTTTATTTGCTTTTATAAATAATATGCATTAAGGACATTATCTGAAGAGAAAAAAATTCGATGAATAAAGAATTTTTACAACAATTGTTTGCATTTTTCTTTTATATATTTTCATTTTTCTTTTATTTTAAAAAATGTTTTAAAATTCTTTCATGCAGCGCATGGGGTTAGTTATTAGGTTTTTAAGTGAAGACTATATTTACTAAGCGAAAATTAAAATCTTAATACAAATAACGCTACCAAAATTTTTTACTATAATAAAAGTTCTTTTTTGTGCGTCAAGATATTTGATTTTTTTTTTTTTTTTGGAATGCTGTCTCGAAAGTGATATGGTTAACAGGTCACGTGTTTCAAGGCTTGTCTTTCCTTGGGAAAAGCCCTTTGACATATATATATATATATATATATATATATATATATATATTCAGCTGCCGGCAATTCTTCCTTCATTTCACTTCCGTGTTTCATCGACTCTACGCTTCAACAATCTTGTTTGGAAATCATCCCTTCAATATTTAAAAGTAATCTTTTTTTATTACGTTTATTTTCACTTTTTGGCTATGTATTTATTTTACTTTTTTAGTCCGTGTCATACGTCAAGTAAATTTTTTTTTAATTTTAGTTAAAATAATTTTTTTTTTAGGCCTAATTTTATTTATTTTTTAATTTTCTTTTCTTTTTTGTGAATTATATTTTTACAAAAAAATGGTTGAAACTTTCAACCATTTTCTTCTAAAATAAAGGGTTGCCTTTCAAGTTGAAAGGCAACCCTTTATTTTATTTAAAACCTAAAGTTTAATTTCCTTATTTTTAAAGCATTTTCTTTTCATAAAATTAGTTTTCTTTTCTCAATTTAATTGTGGTCTCCACTAATTCGCGATGAGTAAGGTTTTTTTTTCATGTTTTATTTTTAATGGATTTCAAAAAAAATTTAGAAGCTTTCTTGAAGCATTCATTTTAGCTTTAATTGAAAGCTGAAATCTCCTTGCCTTTGTGTCCACCTTTTTTAGTTGTACGGTCGATTGGCACTCACACCTCTCGGCCCACTGCAACAAATGGTGACCCCGACGTGATCTATGGACACAGGCAAACGGCTAGCAGAGAAGATGGCTCAGCTACGTGCAGAGATGAGAGACCTGAAATTTTCTCTATGCCGGAGACAGCGAAGCCCAGCACCATGCACACGGAAGCGAAGCTGTACCCGCACCTCAAGTCCAGGATGGAGAAACAGTGCGGAGGAATGTTGGTACCACCAAACCTTCGGTGGACAAGCCCGCAAGTGCCACCCTCCCTGCAGACGCAAATATGACCCAGGAAAACGAATAGACCGACAGGCAGCGACGACGATCCCTGTCGGTACTCGCTCACACCCTTGCTCGGTGCTGACTTCTTGGCACATGACAACCTGGCTGTCCATATGAAGACAAGACCCTGTCCGACAACACGACATCCATCAAGATCACGGGGGTGCCTTCGAGCTACAACACAACTAGGATCAGCGTGGCAACACAGCACGACCCACGCTACGTAGAAATCCTGCGCCGGTACAAGCACCTCACGCAACCCATCAAACAAACTGATGTAGGCGACCATCAGACCCAACACAATATAAAGACCACCGGACAACCAGCATATTCACGGCCACGACGACTCCCTCCATACAAATTAGCATATGCCAAGAAAGCGTTTGGGGAGATGCTGGCCGACAATATCATCCGACCCTCAGACAGACCATATGCTTCACCACTGCATCTGGTACCCAAATCCGACGGTGATTTCAGGATCTGCGTGGATTACCGGAAACTCAATGCATCCGCAGTGCCCGACCGCTATCCTGTTCCACATATCCACGACTTTGCCTCAGATCTACAGGGGGGCCGCATTTTCTCAAAAATCGACCTGACCAAAGCCTACTACCAAGTTCCAGTCGCTCCGGAGGACATCCCAAAGACAGCAGTCACAACCCCTTTTGGACTGTTTGAATTCCTAAAATGCCCTTCGGACTGCGCAACGCAGCCCAGACGTTCCAGAGTTATGTTTTGAATTATTCTAGGATCTATTGGGTGGAAATAATTATGGATCTGTTTGCAGATTTTATTTTTTTTTGGCTATTGAGTGTTAACTTTTGTATTAATTATTCCATTGTTGTTATTATTATATTTATTTGTGTTTATGTGTGCATTCATATTTGTTAACTTGTTTATTATTTACTTATTGGTTTAGATTAATTTATTTTAATTTTTTAGTTTTCAAGTAACAGTAAAAATTTGTTTTTGTGTCTTTATTTTGAGAAGAGTTTATAGTTTATTTAGTAGTTTTGTTTATCTGGGAAGGTAATTATAGCTATTTTCTCCCCATGAGTTTGGATTTTGAATTTATTGGTGTGGACTAATACTGTTTTTCTTATTTTCCACATTTTTAGTGTGATTTTTTTTCTCTCAGATATGTTTAGAAAGTATTGTGCTGTTCATGTAGTTACTATTTTAAAGGATGTTTTGTGTGCATAGTTTCTTTGTTTCCAAAGTGGGTTTTGATTTCAATGACCACTTTTATATATACATATGCTCTATCCCTGATATTGATCACTTTAATTCATAAATATAGCATGTCTTGAAACCATTATATGAGAGTGGGATAGAGAGAAGGTGGTGAAAAGATTTCCCACATATTTTGGTTGGTGGGAAGATAGGCTTCTTGGTCAAGTTGAGAACTTTTCAATAGTTATATCTACTGATACTAAAGTACTCCTATTTGTAAAATGAAGTTAATAAAATTTAGATTTGATTAAAATCTTATCAGTGTTTTTCATTAAAAAAAACATTTTGTCTTCTGAACAATTAAGAGTAAATAGCTTAGAAGGATTTTAGATATTTATCCCTATTTCCTCTTGTAACATTTAACAATGGTTAGGGTTATATAACAAAAATAGAATTTAAAGAATAAAAAAAATTGAAAAATTAATAAATTCACAAAAACATGTACCATTTATTAGAGTCTTTATTTTATCAAATTTACATCAAACAACAAATTTCATTTTTTGTACAGTAAAAGTTTTGGTTTCAAATTTTATTTTTCAATAAGTATCAAAATTTAGCATGAGCAACTGTATGTAAACAATCTGGATCTTTTTTTTTCCTGGTTTTTATCTTTTCTGCCAGTATTTCCTGAAATTTTTTTAATCCAATTGACACTATTATTATCTTTGTCATAAGGCACTTACACATAAGTTTCTGGCAATTCCTTTATGGCTGCTTGTAATTTGTTTTCCTAGATTTTGATAAGACAGAAGAATGTAAGATGAAAAGTTAAGCAACTTTGAATCCATATCCGATATCAATGGAGGACTGTGGAATATAATATTGGTATAAAAAAAAATCATTAAATGCTAGTAGATTTGAATGATTTCCTTTTTTATTTTAAAAAATATGAATCACTGATTCTCATATTTAATAATCATCCTGGAAAATTGCTGCTTACTTAAAATTGCTTGTAACAGTAAGAACAATCACTAGGATTGCAAACTTAGTTAAAGTTAACCTCAAAAGTGGCAGAAATTTAGACTAGTTATAAAAATGGAAAATTTATGATGTGAATAATAAATTAAGCTGGGGGATATTTCAATAAAACCAGATGACAGCATGAAAATACATAAGAATATTGAAATTCTCAAATAATAAATGTTCTGTTAATAGATGTAAGATTAGACATATGTACAGAGATGCAGGTTTGCAAAAAGTAGATGAGTATATTTTAACATCTACAGTAAAGAAAGGAAATTGAAAAAAATCCTTACTGAAATTTATTTTTGCTAATCAGTATGAAAGAGATCAAATACACAACTGTTTTTTTTTTCAGATCATTTAAATTTGCCAGCAAAGTAAATAAATGTTTAAGAAGTATATTTTGTGGACATTTTAAATATAACAATTGACTACAAGACTCTTGCTATGTGTATTTATTTGCTCTAGCACATAATTGAGGTAAACGCTTGCAATGAGTCATCATTTAGCTCTATTAAAACACAGTGTATCAATCAAGATTAATGTGACATGACGTCTTATGTCAGTATTATTTAAACAGACATCATAATAATTGCTGTTCATTGTTTCATTGAAAGGCTATTTTTCTATTCTTATTACTGTTATTGATAATTTGTAATAAAAATGCTTTACGTTATCCATTCAGAGAAATGCGTTGTTTACTAAATTTCCTAAAAGAAAAAAAGCCATCACTCTGAATGAAGTAATTTAACTATAGATTTCTTTTCACCATCAAAATGCTAAATAAATATAGCTGAAAACAGTTTAAATTGACCACATAAAGAATAACAAATAGTTTAAACATACAGATATACATTTTAATAAAAGAATTGCCAAACTTGGTTTCCGCCAATATTTCCGAAATGTTTCGTAAAAAATGGCTGACCAAAGGGAGACCAGCCTCAAGCATGCATATAAATAGATATACATAACCCAGATTCTCAATAGCTGGTACCATAATACAATATTTGGGAAAGCATATTATGGAAAAAGCTTCTTTTTTTTCTCTCTCTGGTGGCAGTTTCATAAGAATATGCTACAACAATGTTATCAGTAGTAACCTAGCAACAGTATCTCTAACTTTTCTGAGGAAAGTAAAATTGACATGACAATCCTGAAAAAGGCCAAGGATTCCAAGTTCTGACATTTGATAAGTTAGTAATTCAGTATAATTTTGGAACAAATTGTTCTCTGATATTTAGCAAGTTAATTATTCATATTTGGGTTCTTTCATAGTAGTAAAAAAAAATAAGAATTATATGCTAATTTATCGGTGTTTTTTTTTTTTACATAATCAATACTAAACTAATTGCTAGTAAAAATTAAATGAAGTTATTTAAAATTTGAGGCTATTTAAATGCTTATGAATTAATGACTTCAAAATATTACATGTTAATTTTCTGCAAGATCCATTTAAATAGAATTTATTAACTGGAAGGACATTTTCACATTTAATATTTACCTTCCTTTACATAGATGAAAGAAAATTTTAAATTATTGCACAACTCAAGGTTGTGCATTCAGAAAAATACAGCCATGTAGATTATGTATATATATATATGACCAAAAGAAATAACTATAATTAATTTCATGTTGCACTGCTTTCAGATTATTTGAATTTTACGATTTTCTTTTAAATATGTGTATAATTTAAGCCACCATAATCAATTGTTATTCATCTTTTACTTTTGGAAATGTTATTTAAACAATTAAAAAAAACAACTGATATGACCAAACCAACGGATAATATCACAGAATATTTATTATTAGAGCAACAATAACAACAAAGACCAGTTGTTACAATAGACGTTGAAAGTTCAAAGGTTGATAACACAAAAAAATCATGGAACATTTACATCGTCAAAGTGAACAGCACACCACAGTTGGTTAGTTGATATATCTGAAAGACAAAATTGAAATACGAATAGAATATCAAAGACATCAATTTTAAAAACAGAAACGCAAAATACATAAACATACATTCCATCATGAAAAAAAATATTGAATATTTACCAACACATCCAACAAAATTGGAAATATATAAAAGCCAATTTAACCTAGAGGAAAAAAATACAAATGGATTAACCAAGAAATTGCCTGACATTAGATACCAGTATCGTATTTTCATCATCTACATCTCAAACTGCGTAAGAAACATTAAAAAACTGAAAATGGAAAAAAATCGTCAATGGGCATTCTTGGGCCATGAAAGATTGACTTAGAATCTGGGATATCTAGCAAAGGCTAATATCGCAACAATGCAGACTTTGATTTAAGGCATAGGGGGTCGTAATTATTTTTTTCTTAATCTACACCTAAAACTACGTAAGAAACAGTGAAAATGGAAAAAAAATCGTCAATGGGCAATCTTGGGCATTGGATGACTGAATTTGGGTCAGGATATCTAGGAGGGGATAAAACCGCAACAATGCAGACTTTCATTTAACGCATATATCTTGCCGGTAGGGGGTTGTAATTATTTTTTTTTCTTCATCTGCAACTCAAACTACGTAAGAAACACTAAAAAACTGAAAATGAAAAAAAAATCGTAAAATGTGCATTCTTGGACCATGGATGACTGACTTTGGTCTCGGATATCTATCAAACCGAATGAAAAATCCTTGTAGACATGGATGGACTGAGAAATTCCACACAGAAGAGAAAAGTGAGGGACCACCCCCCCAGTTTCGTTCTGCATAAAAATTCCAACAAATTCACTAACACAAGTTCCCGTATCGTCGAAGGTCACTTTCTCCCCACACAAGCGACTGAAATAATTCTTTGTCTCGTGGATTCAACAGGAAATTCCACACAATCTGATATCTATTTCATGAGGATTCCCTAGAGAGGAAAAAGTGGAAATGCGATCTCTTCGAGCAAACCGCTTTTCGGACACCGTAAATTGCCAACAATCACAGCAGCGACACGGTCGAAGCTGCACTTTGCCCCATAAAATCGAATGAAAATTCTTGTAGACATGTACAGAGTGAGAGATTTCGCACAATTTAATACCAATTTTGAAGAGATTTTATCTACTAGAAAAAAGTTATAAAGCAGTGAAATGTGAGTGATCCCCCAGTTTTGGTCCGCATCAAAATTCCAACAAATACGCTAACACGATGCCCCGTATCGTCGAACTTCACTCCCTTCCTACACAAGTGACTGAAATAATTCTTTGACCCATGGATTAAGCAGGATATTCATCACAATCTGATGTCTATTTCATGAGGATCCCCTAGAGGGGAAAAAGTTGAAATGCGATCTCATTGAGTAAACCCCTTTCAGTCACAGTACATTGCCAACGGTCACAGCAGTGACATCGTCGAAGGTGCACTTTGCCCTTTAAAACCGAATGGAAAATCCTTGTAGATATGGATGGACTGCGAAAATCTGCACAAATTAACACCAATTTGGAAGCGATTTCATCTACTAGAAAAAAGCGATAAAGAAGTGAAAAGTGAATGATCCCCCATTTTTGGTTCGCCTGAAAATTCCAACAAATTC